AGAGAGAGAGAGAGAGAGAGAGTCATAACACATGGCGATGGATGACTGGCAAGACATCGTCGGGTTAAAGTTTCGCCCCAACGATAAGGATCTCATCAGTCACCTTCGCTGGAAAGTCAACGGCGGAGGCGACAGTTTCATAAAGGACGTGGATGTTTATGGATCGGAACCCTGGCTTCTTCCACACGTCACCGAGCCTCTGTTCCAAGACAATGAGTGGTACTATTTCGTGAAAAAGACAATAGACAGCACGAGGAAGAGAAAGAGACAGAGCCGGCAGGTCCAAAAGAAAGAAAACGGCGGCACATGGAAGAGCACAACCGGGGAAGAAGAGATCAGAGATGGCGGAAACGCTGTCGTTATCGGCCACGCTCGGAATCTCACTTTCATGGAGAACGAGGTGGGGAGTACGAAGCAGATGAAGACGGATTGGCTGATGAGAGAGTATCGCCTGCCCTCCCAGGAATCTCAAGAATGGGTTGTCTGCAGAATCCGACGCAAAAGCAACGGCCGCGTGAACGGGGATGGACGTCGGATGAATCAAGGCAACCTCGGAATCAATTCGTCGATTGATATGTACCAGACACAGAGAGTTCAAAAGAACGGCTTGCTTATCCTCGTTGCTCTTCATTGGAATATATACATAACTAAGATGTAAAACCTAGCCTATAATTAAGGAAAATCAATCTGAGAATATAAACCACCTCCGTAATATGTGATATACAATATATATCCCATTACCCCCCCTCAAGTTGGAGCATATATATGATGTGTGCCCAACTTGTCTAAGAAGATGTCGAACTCCTTCTTCCCGAGTGACTTGGTGAAGATGTCGGCAAGTTGGTGATGAGTCGAGACATGTCGGGTTGCTATATTGCGGCTGGAAAGATGGTGATGAAGGAAATGACAATCGACTTCGATGTGTTTTGTGCGTTCGTGGAACACGTTGTTGGCCGCAATCTGCAGTGCGGATTGGCTATCACAGTGGATAGTCATGGGAGCAACGTGATCAACGCCAAGAGTGTGCAGTAGTCCCTTAAGCCATAACAATTCGCATGTTGTTACAGCCATAGCACGATATTCTGCTTCAGCCGAAGATCGAGAGATAGTGTGTTGTTTCTTGGATTTCCACGATACAGGAGATTGACCGAGATGTATGATCCAGCCAGAGAGGGATTTCCGCGATGTCGGACAACCTGCCCAATCAGAGTCACACCATCCGTACAATCGGAGATCCGAGTCGGAGCGTAGAAGAATACCTTGGCCCGGGCGAGATTTGAGATATCTCACAACTCGGAGTGCTGCATCCCAGTGATCTTGTCTCGGTCTTGCATAAATTGAGACAAGACGTGAACTGCATATGTAATGGCGGGGCGAGTGGCAAGGAGATAGAGTAATCGGCCGACGAGTCGTCTATATGGCTCTGGGTCAGAGAGGACGCGGCTGGTGGATAGACCTAGACGATGATTTTGCTCGAGAGGAAACGAAACTGGTTTCGCACCCATCAGTCCCGTTTCCAGCAGAATATCGAGAGTATATTTTCGTTGACAAAGGGAGATTCCCAGGGGACTGCGGGCTACTTCAATTCCCAGGAAATATTTGAGATTTCCGAGGTCCTTCATGTGAAAACATTCTCCGAGATACTTCTTGAAAATTTGTACAGCTGTTCTCGAATTCCCGGTAACGAGGAGGTCGTCGACATATATCAAGACGTGAATCCGAGTGTCTTTCTTGTTGAAGACGAAGAGAGAATGATCAGATTGCGATTGGGTGAAGCCATAAATCCGGAGAGCTGAAGCAAGCTTAGCAAACCAGCAACGGGGCGCTTGTTTCAAGCCGTACAGGGATTTGCGTAATCGACATACTAGATTCGGGGAAGGCGGCATGAGGCCTTGTGGTGGCTTCATGTACACTTCGTCATCGAGGTCCCCATGTAAAAAGGCGTTGTGTACGTCCATCTGGTGTACATCCCACTTTCTAGCTGAAGCAACTGCCAGAAAGGTCCGAACTGTCGCCATTTTTGCAACCGGAGCAAACGTCTCGTCATAATCAATGCCCTCGGTTTGCTTATTACCAAGAATCACTAATCGAGCTTTTCGGCGTTCAATTGAACCATCTGATCTGTACTTGATACGGAAAATCCACTTACTCCCAATTGCTTTCTTTGTTGGCGGCAAAGGTTCATAAACCCACGTATTATTTCGTTGAAGTGCCTGCAGTTCAGCCTGCATAGCAACACGCCATTTGTCGTCGTTGATAGCCTCTTTGAAGGTTCGAGGTTCAGATTCTGTACATACTGCAGCCAAAAACGCCATATGTGAGGGAGAGATGCAATTGTAAGAGACGTAGTCGGCAATCGGAAAAGAGACAGCTGACTGATTCGGTGCAGAAGCTACTGTATCTGCTCGTTCGACAACTGTCACAGCATTTGTGACAAAATTCTGAAGCCGCACATTGGGAAATTTCTGGCGATGTCCTCTGCCTAGGGAACCCTGATCAGATGGAGCTGGAGGCGCAACAATCAGAGCTTGTTCAGCAATGTCAGTCGGGGCCGAAGTGACTGGAGAGGCTACGGCATGATCTGTTTCTGTCGAAACAGGGACGATTTCAGGTTCGCACTGGTTCTCAGATGAGGATACCGCGTGATCAGATCGAGGAGTAAGCGATGGAATTTCTTGTGCAGATTGAACAGATGAGTCGGCATGGAAATTAACGGGGCATGGAACAACAAATTCGTCACTGTCTTCGAAATGCAGAGGACCCGATAATGGTAATGACAGATTCTTCGATTGAACTGAAGGATTTTCTTGAAATGGGAATCTGTCTTCACAGAAGATTACATCGCGAGACACTTGAAACTTGCATGTCTCAAGATTATAAACTCTCCACCCTTTCATTCC